ATGGGCGTGACCGATAGCTGATATCTTGTGTCAGTGAACACTTACACGAGATCATGAAATTCTGCAAAGAAGCTTGAGAAATTAATTGTCAAGTACGCTTACTCAAACAGCTACGGTCGCCGTTTTACAAAGTAAAATCAACGAGTATATATTGCAAATGCTTTTGAAGTATGGGAAGAGGATTGTTCCCGATCGAGGAAACGCAGTGACTGTAAATCAACGATTGCTATCTCAATACTTTGACTTAAGTATAACTAAGAAAGGACCTACACTCTATAGATACACTTTACAAAAATTACTTTAGTTTCTTTAGTCTAGAGAATTAGAAGTTTATTTCAAAATATACATATTTAAAAACGCACCTGTAAGAGACAAGAGTGGATACAACTTTGGAATGCTCCAGTTTTTATTTTAAGTGTTTAGTTATACTGCGTATCAGTGCTAGCATTAGACAGGTAGATTTCCACAGAGGACCATCTACTACGGGATTTTAATTCTTGTAATTTTTTGCCGAATAGAGATATATTACTTGAGTTGAGGTCAGTAGAAGGTAAAGGGAGACCGTCACAAAGATATATAAAGTGATTTCTTAAAGTATCTCAAAGACACCTATAAGCTCCGATATCGACATACAAATTTTCTAAAGACTGATCTCCATACATTTCCTAAAAAGTTAGTTGAGGGAGGTTGCCTATTGGTCACGAGACGCCAGTGGGATTTAATGGCCAAGTCAAGTATTTCATATTAAGAGATTACTAAAAAGCTGGGAATGCTGCTGTAAAATTTCAGTACAAAATATATTGTTCGATCTTCTCGGCCAAGTCCGTTTTTCTCTTCTTCCATCCTTGGACATTGATTTCATAGCATGAGGTAAAGGAAAATGTAGTAATTAGTTGTTTATTTTACCCATCTTTAGTGTTATCGTTGAGGTGCAGTTTTAACGGAAAAAAGGGTTAAACAGTGACGCCATCAAGAAGGTTACAAGCAAAGGGAGAGATGTGTATCCTTTAAACAGGTAAACTCTGTTATAATGCCATCAATATCAAGTACGTCCTTTAGTTCATATGCAGAATTGCAAGAGAACTCAATCTCTAGTCTGTCATGGTCCTTCGTAAAGGAGTTTGCAGTCTCTTCATACCGCTTAAG